AGAATTCAGTCGGGAAGAATTGCTATGAGTTGGTCTTGTGATTCCATATCTTTTTGGGCCATCCTTTCCCATGTTCCTTTTTAGGAACACAAATAGAATTCATAGGATCATAATTCAGGGGTAGAAGAGATAAGGAAGTAATTCCTCCAAAACACCAAATCTACATAACTTGTCTCAGAATCAGAACCATTATATTTTGTTCATCATAAATTGAAATTAATAATAAGAAAAATGAGTTTGAACCTAGAATTTGAACCTTCAATAGCTTTAGAAATAGAAAGTAGACCAGTGATTTCATGGATACAGAGAACTCCAGGTGAAGAAAATCCCTCCACCAACATAGGTTAGAACTGTGCAACTTACAGTCAGTTACCTAGGTCTCTGAAAGGTTAAATGATTTGCCTAGGAATTCCACAGCTAGTATATATCCAAGGCAGGACTTGAATACAAGTCTTCCTGGTGTTGAGGCCAGATCTCTATCCATAGTCACCATCTTAAATTCAATGAAGTATTTTTAATAATTTATAAGATCTCTGGCTAAATGCTTATCAGCAAAAATAAAATTTGACTAAAAAGAAAACCTCTTGAGGCTCAGATATTTTACTCCTAATAAAATGTTATTTCTACAAGCAACTAACGACAAATGACAATTTTACTCTAGAAACACTAACAAATAAAAGTGATATTAGAAATTCACCATTTAAAAGTACTAATTTTCCTATTGCCAAAAATTTTAAGAGTTTTTTTTTGTCATGGATATATTTTAGGCTAAATGGATGGCTAATTTTTATCATCTGAAAACAGATCATATGTTTCAGATTGTTTAAAAGAGCTATGACATGGCATAGAAGATTGTATACAATAAAAAGTTTCTTCTCACAAAATTTTTCCCTACTACTTGGTAACTTCAAACAACATCTGTATTAGTAATGCACATTAGCAGATACAAGGGCGTTGACATGGAGATTATATATCAACTTTTAAATAATGATTAATAATGATCAGAATAATGGCAGCTTTTTCATTATGAAAGCTGAAGAATTCTTTCTAAGAATCATTCTTCTGTGTTTTATTTCTAGGCTCTACGTGTATTGTTCATTAGTCTCTAGAGTATCCTGTGAGATTGTGACCACCTTTAAACCAGCCAGTAATGAATAAACTGGGACAGATATAATCCTATCCTATAAAAAAGGCATGTTTTTAGGTCCTGCCCCAAAGACATAATGATCAGCCAGGCATCCCCTATCAGTTTGTAAGCAGCCCCCAAGGTTACCCACACCAGGCAAATGGATGAATATTACCAGCCTACTAAACACATCTGGAAGCAACTTGAACAGTCTACTGGGTATTATAAATGACTGAATTGGAAGAATGAAATTAAATTGTTGTCAAAGGTAGCATAAGACACTCTCACCACATTTTTAGGATACCAGACTCTTGGTGAAGAATATATCATCCAAAGGATCACATCCAAGACAAAAGTTCCTTTTTAGTTTCACTGACCAGTATTGTTTTTCTTTCCTATCATCATGTCTATCTGCTGGATAAAGCCTTAGTCCATCTAGATTACAAGATATAGGTGGAAGTTAAAAGAACCAGAAACATGAATGAGAGGAGATTGATGGTGTAGCAGTGGACTCACATGTGGTCAGCTTTCTGAGTGAACTGCAGAAGAAATCACTGCCACACCTGTATGATTTCTTGAATCAAAGAATCACCTACCTCCACCAGCTTTACATTTGTTATGTTAATGATTTCTTCTATTGCCTTGCCAAAAAGGCTCATTTGTTATTGTTGAGTCATTTCACTGGTATCTGACTTTTTGTGACCCCATTTGTAAGTGATTTTTATCAGCCTTTTGGTGGCAGATAGCTAGTGCAGAGGATATAGTGCCAAGGCTGAAGTCAGGAAGACTCATCTTCCTGAGTTCAAATCTGACCTCGGATACTTACTAGCTGTGTGACCCTGGGCAAATCATTTAACAGTGTTCGCCTCAGTTTTCTCATCTATAAAATAAACCAGAAAAGGAAATGGCAAACCACCTGTTCTTCTGGGTGTGTATTACAGAGTGATGTAACAGTGGAAACAGCAGACAAAATGTCTTCTATGTAGAGAAAGGTTTCACCTATCAAAATGTTTGCCTAAGGCATTATCACTAGCAACCCCAGAACAAAAGCCATAAGAGAAGAAAAGAAAGTTCAAGATAATTTCTTGGACCAAAAGCAAAGTTTATTTTAATTTAACATTTAATATTTAATATTTTAATTTATTTGATTTAATTAATTAAATATTAAATATTTTAATTTAAATTTAAAAAATTTATCCAGAATCAAGATGGTGAATTAACTTGCACTGAAATTACAAAGTTTTTAAGCATGTTGTAGGGTTTTGTTTTTGGCTTTGTTTTTGAAATCATAGCTCTACTATATCTAGAGCTTAGATATTGGTGAGTTTTTTTAAGCTAGCTAAGCCTAAAAATATCTACAAATATGTCTTCCCTCCTAATTAACCTGAGATAATTTCATTGACTAATTTTGAAAAGTTGTACCCTAATTAATTTCACTTTTCCCAATTTTGGTGCTACATAAAAATAATTTCCTAAATTTTTTTTTTGCTTATTCAAAAAGGAATTCCTTATGCTTATCAAAAAGCAAAGTTTTAGGTTAATGACAATTTGGAGACAGAAAAACTCAAAAAGAGTCTTTGCTCTCAGGGAGCTCAACATGCTCTCAGGGAGACAACATGCAAAATCCTGTTTGCTAACAAATTATAGACTGGATAAATTGGAGATAATCTCAAAGGTAAAGCACTGGTATTGAAGGTAACTGGGGAAGACTTTTTTTGTGAATGGTGGAATTTTAGTTGAGACTTGGAAGCCAGAGAAATCTAAAAGTGGAGATGAGCAGGAGGAGAATTCAAAGCACAAAGGACAGCCAGTGAAAGTCCAGAGACAGAAGATTGTGTACGAGTAACAACAGGTGGGCCAGTGTCACTGGATCATAGACCAGTAGAGGGGAATAAAATGTAAGAACACTGTAAATGTAAAGAGATGCAGGTTATTAGGGGCTTTAAAAGTTAAACAGATGACTTTAAATTTTTTAGTTGATTTATTTTTAGTTTTCAACATTCACTTCACAAGATTTTGAATTTTACGATTTCTTCCCCTACCCTCTTTCCAAGATGGCATGCAATCTGATATAGGCTCTGCATACACATTCATATTAAACATATTTTCACATTAGTCATGATATAAAGCAGAATTAGAACCAATAGGAGGAACGACGAGAAAGAAGAAACAAAGGAAAACACCAACAACAAAACAGGGAGCAAATAATATGCTTTCATCTGCATTCAGACTCCAAAGTTCCTTCTCTGGGTATGGATAGTATTTTCCATCATGAGTCTTTTGGAGTTGGATGACTTAAAATTTGATCCTGGTAACAGGGAGCTGCCAGCATTTATCGAATGAGGGTGATGCGATCACTGTACCTTAGGAAGATCATTTTGTTAGCTGAGTGGACAATGTGCTGGAGTGGAGAGAGACTTATAGCAGAGAGACCAATCAGAAATTTATTGCAATCATCCAACCATCAGGTGTGAAGGCCTGCACCAAGATGGTGATATTGTTAGGGAACAGAAGGGGATGTATATGAAAAATATCGTGTTAAGTAGAATCTACAGGATTTAGCAACAGATTTTATATTTCAGATGAGGGCTCCTCAAGAGTGCAGGGTAAAGAAGGGTATCTAGGTTGCAAGCCTGGGTGATTAGCAGAATGGTGTTTTCTTCAACAGCAATAGGGAAAGTAGGAAGAGGGAATAGCTTTAGGGAAAAGGTAAAAAGTTCAGTTCTAGATATGTCAAATTTAAAATGTTTAAAGTATATCCAGTTTAAGATGTTCAAAAGGTAGCTGGGGATGTTTGACTGTAGTTAGAAGAGAGGTTAGAGCTAGAAAAAGAGATCTGAGGACACCTGCATAGAAATGATATTTGGATCCATGTGAGCTATTTCTCAGGTGTTCAAGGTTTCCCCAAACCAAGGTAAAGGTCAGCCTTTTAGAAGAATTTCCTTAAATCATTTCAATAATTCATCCTAACTATCCAAACAACTTCAATGTGCAAATTGAAGGTCTAAAGGTCTAAGAAAATCTTAATGTCCTTCATTTGCTACTTTTCTTATTTCAATGGGATGTCCTGTTAAAATTTTTTAGCATTTTCTTCAAAATTTTCAGATCTCATCATTTTTCTCACAGAGGGTCCAGTTAGCAATATAAATGGAGATTCAAATGAGTTCTTCTCTTCTACAAATGAATGCAATTATTTTAAACAAAAGCCCCATAATTTGCTTTCTGTGGCTAGGTAGCACTTTAATGCTTTTAGATGTCTGGATTTGGGTAATTGCAAATGTTAAGGGTGCTTTCAGGAGTTTCTTTAAAATGCTGTTAGAACTTGTCGCAGATCAGCCTCTAGATGCCAGAGTTTGAGTTTTTGCCAACTTCTTCCTGAGATATTTTCTGGTCCTATTACCATATTACCATAAAACAACATGAATATTTCAGCTGGCATATCAAAAGAGTATACTACACTAGTGCTAAAGTAAGTAAACGTCTTTTATATTGGGACTTGTTTACTGTTCCTTAGCATATGTCTATTTTGACATTTATTTTATCCAATTATGAGAGCAAGTAATTCTGTCACTCTTCATTCTACCCTAAATTCATCAGCTGCTACAATTGGAGTTTTGATATCGTTCAAAATGGAGTAATTTGAAGAAATAGAAGCCATGGCACTGTGCTGAGTTTGCAACTTATATGAAATTAAGTTAGCATTACTACTATTAATAAAGTTCTTCTAGATTCGAATTCACAGTTCCTTTCTCTCCACATTTTATTCTACCTCTTCTCTACTATCCTCCCACATCTTTTACCTGCTTCCATATGATTTTAGGTGGTCCCTTTTGAGTATCATATTAATTGAAGAAAATATCTTGTATTTCTCTAGGAACTCTCCTGATGAGTGCAGTGTTACAAAGGGTGGGAAGATGGTCAACAGCCAAGATAATGTTGGAATGAATTATGGCAGCTTTTTGGAGGAGAAGCATATTCTATCAACCAACATGACAACAAATGAACGAAGGGTTATTGTACCTGCAGGTCAGAAGTTTATAAATTTCACTTTGGGATTTGTGATGATGTGATGTATTGGAGAGACCATTGAATTGAGGGGTTTGTCCATCTGAATCATTGATACGCTATTTATTAGTCTTATTACTTTAGGAAAGGCTCTTATTCTCTCTTATACCTCATTTTGTCATATGTAAAATAGGTATAAGAATACTTTAACAACCCAACCTAAAGGTTTGTCATGATAAAGTCTTTGTAAATTTTAAGACATAGTAAATGTGAGCTATCATCATTTTGTGAGGAAACTGTAATACAAACAAAAATAGTACTAACAAATGTAATGATAATAAAGGTTGAGCTGAATAATAAAAGATCAATTCTCTAAGATTCAGATCAAATTGGAGTCCTTTCCCATCCCCCTCATATTCTAATGTCTGACCTTTTCAGATTACCTTCATCTATTCTGTATGCATCTTCCATAAGCCTAGTTATTTACATGTAGTCTTCCTAATAGAATGCTTTCTCCTTAAATGTAGGCATTGGTTTTTTTGCTCCCTCTCCCGTTTTTTGGAGGTGGAGCCAAGATGGCAGAGTAAAAGCAGTGACTCGCTTGAGCTCTCCCTCAAACCCCTCCAAATAACTGTAAAAATGGCTCTAAACAAATTCTAGAACAGCAGAACCCACAAAAAGACAGAGTGAAACAAATTTCCAGCCCAAGACAGCCTGGATGGTTGTTTGGGAAGGTCTGTTGTGCCAGGCTGGAAGAGGACCACAGTTAAGCATGGGCCATACAGGCAAAGACCAGGCCTCAGCAAACCTGGAGCAGGCCTCAGAGGACTGAATCAAGGGGAGCTGTGGCAGTTTCCAGACTTTTCAACCCACAAACACCAAAGACAACTTAGAAGGTCAGTAGGAAAGGTCTGTGACTGCGGTGAGAGAGGAGCTAGGTCCAGCCCCAGTTCTGGCACAGCCCTAGGGTGGCAGCTGCTTCCAGAGCTCTCTGCCCACAAACTGAGGGGGGATCAAGCATCTGATCAGAGGATTATTGCAGGGATCTCTTTGCTGGTGCCGAGGCAGGAGTCTCTTGCTTTGCCCATGCTTGGATCTGAGTTGCAGTCCTTGGTGGTGGTCCTGGGGTGAGGATGAGCGCTAGCATGGTAGAGCTTATAGCGACAGTGGAGAGAAAACACTCCTCATATTTCCAAGGCAGAAAAGAGTGCTTATGGTTACTTATAGCCCAGAGCACAGGCGAGAAAAGGAGTAAATACCTTGTGCTTGATCATACCACCTTGGAAGAACTAAAAATTTACAGTCCCTAGAAGTATCTCTGAAAACACCTGCACAAATCCCTTGAAGCTTGGGACAGTACACCCTCCACACTGGAAGCAGACCCCTACCTTAACAAAGAGTTTAAAAGTCAAGCAATTGGCTGGGAACATGAACAAACAGTTCAAAAAAAGTCAGACCACAGAATCTTACTTTGATGACAAAGAAGATCAAAACATACAACCAGAAGAAGACAACAAAGTCAAAGCTCCTACATACAATGCCTCCTTGAAAAATATGAATCAGTCCCAGGCCATGGAAGAGCTCAAAAAGGATGTTGAGAAGCAAGTAAAAGAATAGAGGAAAAACTAGGGGGAGAAATGAGAGTGATGCAAAAGAATCACGAAAAACAAGTCAACAGCTTGCTAAAGAAGACACACACACACATAAAAAAATACTGAAGAAAATAACACCTTAAAAAATAGACTAACCCAAATGGCAAAAGAGGTCCAAAAAGCCAATGAAGAGAAGAATGACTTAAAAAGCAGAATTAGCCAAATGGAAAAGGAAGTCCAAAAGCTCACTGAAGAAAATAATTCCTTAAAAATTAGAATGGAGCAAATGGAAGCTAATGACTTTATGAGAAAAAAAAGAAACTATAAAACAAAACCAAAAAATGAAAAAATATAAGACAATGTGAAATATCTCATTGGAAAAATAACTGACATGGAAAATAGATCCAGGAGACAAAATTTTAAAAAATTATTGGACTACCTGAAAGTCATGATCAAAAAAAGAACCTAGACATCATCTTTGAAGAAATTATCAAGGAAAATTGCCCTGATATTCTAGAACTAGAAGGTAAAATAGAAATTGAAAGAATCACCTCCTGAAAGGAAAACTCCTAGGAATATTATAGACAAATTCCAGAGTTCCCAGTTCAAGGAGAAAATATTGCAAAGCAGCCAGAAAGAAATAATTCAAGTATTGTGGGAACACAATCAGGATAACAAAAGATTTAGCAGCTTCTACATTAAGGGATTAGAGGGCTTGGAATATGATATTCCAGAGGTAAAAGAAGCTAGGATTAAAACCAAGAATCACCTATCCAGCAAAACTGAGTATAATCCTTCAGGGGAAAAAATAGACATTCAAGTGAAATAGAGGACTTTGAAGCATTCTTGATGAAAAGACCAGAGCTGAATAGAAAATTTGACAGATTTAGGGAGGGGTAATCAGAAGCAAACACTTTTGAGGAGGGACAAGGTCAAAGGAGAGAATAAAATAAATGAGGATTTGAATAGCATGAAGGGAAATATAGTTAGTTTTTTTTACAACATGGCTATTATGGAAGTGTTTTGCATGACTACACATGTATAAGCTGTATTGAGTCACTTGCCATCTCAATGAGGTTGAGTGGGCAAGGTGTAAGGGAGAGACTTTGGAACCCAAAGTTTTAAAAATAAATGTTAAAAAATTGTCTTCACGTGCAACTGGGAAATAAGATACACAGGCAATGGGGTATAGAAATGTATCCTGCCCTACAAGAAAATAGAAGGGGAAGGGGATAAGAGAGTGGGGGTGATGGAAGGGAGAGCAGATCAGGGGAAGGGGCAATCAGAATGCACACTGTCTTGGGGTGGGGGGAGGGGACATATGGGGAGAAAATTTGGAACTCACAATCTTGTGGAAGTGAATGTTGAAAACTAAAAATAAATAAATAAATTTAAAAAATAAAAAATGCATATTTATTGACTGACTTTAATCTCTATAAATATTATTTTATTAACATTTTTGTTATTCATATTTTGATAAATATCAACAAATATGAATATTCCCATATAGAAAGGAAAACAAAAAGGATTTTATATGAAATTATGATTCTCTATAACATACAGGTTTTTTAAAAATATGCAAGATATTCAATGTGTTGGTTCTAAAACTATCCTACATCTTTGGCTCCCTCTAAAATTTCTTTTATCATCTGTTTTTTTTTAAAAAGTTTTTTGAGGAAGAGATTACATCTCTACTCCCCCTTGTCCTCCCCATCTCCCCATTCCAAGTAAAAAAAAAAACACCTCGAAACAAATGAAAATAGTAAAACAAAATAAGTCACATATTGGTCCTGTCTGAAAATATATACTTTACTCAGCACCAGTTTTCTGTTGAGAGGTGGTATACATGTTTTATCATTAATGATCTGGAGTCCTAATTGGCCATTGAATTCATAAGAGTAATAAAAGTTGTTTTTATTTTAAGGATTATAGTCATTGTATAAATTATGGTCCTGGTTGTACTTGCTTCACTCGGCATCAGTCCATATAAATCTTCCCAAGTATATCTATCATTTAAATTTTTTCTGATGGTCCAGTAATATTCAAATACATTCCTATAACTCAATTTGTTTGACCATTTCCTAATCAATGGTGCACCTTACTTTCCAGTTTTTTGTTAAATGAAAAAGTGCAGCTTTCCCCCTTTCTCCATTTCCATTTGAAAGCATCTACTTAATTCTAGTCTTTTCATAAAGATTCCTTGAAATCTCTTAAAGGACACTTCTCTCCCACCAAATAAAATTATACTCAATTTTGCCAGGTAGGTTTTTCTTGACTTAAAGTCTTAGTCTTTTGTCCACTGAAATATCATATTAGAAGCCTTTTCCTCTCCTTTATAGTAGCATCTATTATGCCTTGAGTGACCCTGACTGTGACTCCTTGGTACTTGCAGTCAAAATTTGAAAGAAAGCAGAGGGGCAGATATGTGGCACAGTGGATAGAGCACTGGACCTGGATTCAGGAGGACCTGAGTTCAAATCCAGCCTTAGACACATGATATTTACTAGCTGTGTGACCCTAGGCAAGTCACTTAACACCCATTGCCTAGCCAAAAAAAAAAAGGGGGAAAATACTTGCAGCAATTTTCTCTGATAACAGCTCATTTCTCAAATATATAGGGAATTGAGCCAAATTTATAAAAATGAGAGCCATTTCTCAATCGACAAATAGTCAAAGGATATGAACAGTCAGTTTTCAGAAGAATAAATTAAAACTATTAATAGTCACAGAAAAAATGTTCTAAACATCTATTGATTAGAGAAATTCAAATTTAGACAACTCTGAGGTACCACCACACACCTATCAAATTGGCTAATAGAAAAGGAAAATAATAAATACTAGAGAGAATGTGGAAAAGCTGGTATACTTGTTGTTGTTTGTCCTTCATTTTCAAAAAGGACCAATGACATTAGAAAGTGATGTTTTGACTTGTGGGTGATCTGGATTTAAGTGAGGCAGAGTTATACAAAGTTGTCAGCCTCACTTTCTTTTCCAGAACCATCAAAGTCCGGTGGTAAGACAAAAGTTAGGATGACTGGTCATGGCTCAGGATGCAGTGGATGACTTTGGTGTCTTTGATATCTGAACAAGTTCTAAATGTTCCCACACTACCTGCTTCAACCACCTTCATGGCCATTGGAACAAATTTTTCTCATCTGCCCATTCCATTGGGGAAAGTCTTCACATGCTTGGGATAGACACCCCCCTAACTCATTGATGGGTTTGTAACCTGTTGGTTACCCTCAAACTGGCTTAGCCTGCCTGCAGGGATGATTTATTGGGGTGCAGCCACTGCTATGTCACAGCTTCTTGGAGCCATAAGGAGAGTTGAGTACCAGGTGGACACCAAAGGTAGATAAGCAGCCCTGAAAAGGGCTCAGCAAACCTTCACATCAGAAGTGCTAATCCTTGAACATCCATACACCCCAC